ACACACACACACACACACACATACACAGAGAGAGAGAGAGAGAGAGAGAGAGAGAGAGAGAGAGAGAGAGAGAGAGAGAGAGAGAGAGAGAGAGATGGTCGTGTCGTATCAGCCCCCCCTTCTCTTGGGTGTCTATGCTCCCAGGTAGCAACTCTACTGTCCGCAAGCAAAGTGGAGTCTTTGCTGTCTTCAAGGACAGGAAGTCTATCTCGTCTTTTGGTTCTGCGGCATGTTCGGGCAATGCTGCCGGTAGCCTCCTCAAGGGCAGTCCGGGCTTATTACACTGTTGGTCAAAGGTGGAAACTCCACCTTCTCCAAACTCCTGTCCAAAAAATAACAATGTGTCTGGTAATTCCCTGATTCATATTCTACTATTCCTGAATCCTTCTGGTGCTCTGTGAGCCCCCTCTCAAATGGGGGTACGTTCTGAGTCTTCCGAACCCCGAAGGATAAAAATTAAATAGAGCATTAATGTCCTCTCGGCTCTGTGGAATACGATCTTGATAGGAGTTTCACTGCATAAAATAGAATCTTGTCGACGACTCGACGCCATATCGTTTACTTGTTACGTCAATAAGTGGCTGCAGTTCTCTACGGCCTGTCAATGAGTGTTCTTTTTCTTTTTTGGAATTTGGAGGATCTATTATTTTACTGTTACTGACTGGCATGTATGGAATTTACTGTTCGATGGACGATGGATTGTGCCGGAGAGTCCCCCCGTGTCAGGAAAACCTGAGGGTCAGTTCACCTCACGCCACTCACAAGCCAACAAGGCACATACAATAGGTGGAGGTTGCTCGGGTGTTTAGAAGGCTCGGAGGGCTGCAGGGTATATGCTTCCGCGAAAACGACCGGTCTCGTCGAGGCAAGAAGATGTGATATGAACAAGGCACATACAAGAGGAGGAGGTTGCGCGGGCGTTTAGAAGACTCGAAGGGCTGCAGGGTATATGCTTCCGCGAAAATGACTGCTCTCTTCGAGGCAAGAAGAGGTGATATGAACAAGGCACATAAAAGAGGAGGAGGTCGCTCTGGTGTTTAGAAGACTCGAAGCGCTGCAGGGTATATGCTTCCCTGAAAGCGACCGCTCTTCGAGCCAAGAAAAGGCAATTATTAAAACGCCCCCAGACTTGGTTGCCTGATTGTCGTGGTGGGTAGCGACTTGTCCTTCACCAGTTCATTGCCCGGCTCTCTTGAACTTGGGTAGGCAAGAAACCGCCTCTCTGAGGTGGCGGAGTACATGTTTTTGAGAGCGCCATTTTATCGATCATCTCCTCCGATCTCTCACTACCTTCTTGGAATAGATGAAGCAGAGGCCTTTTTTTTCCGTCTTTTTTACGAGGTTGCTTGCTGGATTAGAATGCCAGTCGCAATCGATGTTTTTTTTTTTTTTTTTTTTTTTTTTT